AGTAAGGTAGGTAAGTCGCTTTTTGATTTTATTATTGCAGTTTATTTAGTAATCAGTAATTGAGGGCATGGAAGGAAATCATGAAGAAAAATCTCGATATCATTCTGATTAGCGAGCACTTATCGCATATGTAAACTAACTTATGTGTCTCACAGAACTGCCCCGGTGCGATTCACAGGTAATAAATATTCACTATTAAGTACATGATAGTGAACTGTAAAAGAGTTAAAACACTTAGAACAGTTAAGAGAAAACGCATAGACTTGTTAACTTAACTAAGATGTGCGAAAATGTGCCTTGGAGGATCTTGTGCGACAACAAAACCCCAATCTAAAAGTCTTGAAGGCGTAAAGTTGCCACGAATCTTGTAAATGAAAGTTCTATCATATCCAACAGTGACATATTTGTACTTCAAATCTTTATGTGTTTAACAGCATTTGTGGGCTGTTAAAGACCATTTATCTTTTGTATCACAATGGCCCATAATTTGTGCCCAAGTGGGCTTTAGTGCGTAAGGCCACTACTCTAACCCAACCTAAGATTCCTGGAAATGAGATTAGATTATGATCAGTAGTTATTTTGTGTGCAATGACAAATATTGATTTATTTAAAATAATAAATTAAATTAAGGCCTTTTATTGGTGGGACTAAGATGAAAGATGTCATAAGCTAAAGCTATTGTGTTTACATTTTTATGTGAGCATAGATTTTATTGAAGGTGATATAAGTCATATGTGATATATGTTATGTATTTCATATATGGTACATAAGTGTTAACACTACCTGACATAGTAAAATACTAACGCACTACTACTAATGCAGAGATTTGACCAATAATAAGCCAACGTAATAAATCTTCGAGGTTATGTGAAGGCGTCTACTAACGCCAAATAAGTTTCAAGTGTTTTCACTAAACAAATACCAACCATTAATCTGATCATTTTCTCATATTTCCTTCAAGACTACATTATTTAACCTGCCTAAGCCGTTATAGATTGGTTTGTTGCGCAGCACACTATCAACTCAAATCAAAAATACTCTGTATAGCTTGTTGCATGATATTCAATAATGATACAGAAATTGATCGTTGTGTATAAGAGTATATGTAGTAAAACGGCTCCATTATTAAGAAAAAAGTTAAGCACTTCTACTTTGCTCTTTTGTAACTTCATAGACCGTAATTGCACTGACGTAGGTCTGCTACCCGCTGGGTCTTTATGATAAAGTGAAATACGCCATTATTTAACTGAATTGCCAATCAAATGAAATTACCGCTTGTTTTTTAATGACTTAGGATATCAATATGATTGGTAGCATATTTGCTAATAGTCTTAAAAAAATAGATAATTATTCACTTTTGTCATTAAACTATTTGATTAATTTAATTTAAAGCGCTCTTAGTTAACATGCGGTAACGATTTAATTATGTCTGCAACTACAGCTAAGTAAATCAATACATTTGCAGGAGTACGAGTATCTGTCCGCAATCACAGCCTCTGTGGCTAATCAAACTCTTAGATACACATATTTCTCAATTAGGTATTCACTGCGAAATGCCGCATATTGGCTTGGCGCATATAATTTAATGCAACCACCAACTGCAATGCAATCCGTCCGTGTGTTATTTTCTCACTCCAGCTTACACACAAGCAAGATCAGCAAAAATAAATGACTTTATTGTTGAGTCCAATATAATTTTATACTCGATCAGATGAACGCAAGCACCGATGTTGGGAGGTCTTCTTACGAGCTTGTGCGCATGTCTGGTGCTCGTTGCCACACGGCCTGCTGGTATCTTTGTTCGTCTGTTTGTTGCTCTGATTGTAGGTCTGATTGCTGGTCTTCCTGTTTACTTGCTTGTTTATATGCTCATGTATCCAATGTTCCTTTATATTACCCAGATCGTTGCTAATTTGTACGAAGTGGAGAATCGTGCACTTTGCTTTGCCACAATCTCAAGACACAAATGTAAATCAACTTTGATCCACATTATTAGATGCGGATTACCACTTTCAGGTTGAGATCGACCAAGAGATCACGTTACAGTTTAATGCTTTTGTACTGTTTGGAAACGTTGCTGTAGGTAGTCAGCTGAATTGGAGAAAATGATTCATTGTTAGTATACTAAAGTTGTGGCTCCCACTTAAAAGGTGGAGCTTATCACGTTTGTATACAAACAATGGGTACACATTTTTATAAACAAATTGTTTTTATACCAAAGAAATTTCAAACATGTAATGCACCTAAAATTATGCAGTAGTACCAATAAATTTAATTATCGGGAAGGACCCTAAGCAATATACACACGTTTTATTTACTTTGTGTACCTAAACTCGCTTTATAGTTATTATTTCTTTAAAGACTGATCTTCATCGCCCACATTTCTTTGTTGTTTTCCGAACTCCTGCTGTGTCTGTAATTACGATTGAAATGTCATTTGTCAAAATAAAAGTTACTGCTCCTGTTTTAGGTATTCAAACATTTTCTTATCCATCGCATAAAATGATCATGTTGATCATGTTGATCGTGTTAAACACGTGTTCTAATCTTATTAAGGGAACAAAGGAAGATAAAAAGGAAAATGGAAAACAACAAATCAACCTTCAATCAATTTAACCACACTAAACAAACCGCTTTGGCGGTACTTACTATGTCGGTATCGATCTAAACTGCAATTTTAGATGGGGCGGCACCATCAAACTCGCATAAATCTTCTGCAGAATTCATTCATTATCCTTAGCTTGACCGCAACAGAAGAATAAGTATTTAAGCATAGCGAATAAAAAATATACAATCAAAAAAGTCTGAAAAAAATACGAGTAATACAAAAAAGATATACTAAACAGAAACATACAAAAGATACAATATTAAATTTAAATCCGTACAACAACATCCACTGTTACAACAAACAATGCGAAATTTGTGTACGAAGAATGGCAAAAAGATCTGCAAACAAAAGATACAATGCATGTGATGTATCCGCATAAACATTTTTCATTGATTGGATAAGTTGTAATTATCCTTTAGACAAAAGGCGCTAAAGAACAACACCTTCTTTACACCTCTGGGCCACAAAGAATAAGGATACTTTCGTTTTATTTGTTGCTTTTGTATTGATTTATTGATTGCTTTTATCGTACAATAACAAAAATTACTTATATTTATATAAAAAAAATATAATATTATTGAGTATTATGAGTGTACTTTATGAGGTAATTTTGTGTAGGTAAATATATCACAAAAATATATACATATTGCAGTATAAATAATTATGGCTAAGCATTACCTAGACTTCGATAGAATCTCTTTGAAAAATAAATGCTAAGCTTCGAAGAGGTACACGGGTTAAATCTATATACATATTTAAGTATGAAAATTAAAATTATTTATTTAAAAAGTAATATACATTAAGACCGAAAAGTTTTCGGAAATTCTCATTTAAAATTCGCGCGCTGTATATTTTTCGATATTTTAAGTTTATGTAGTTTGGCAGAAACTAACCACAATTACTATGCCAAAAATGAGCGCGATCTGTCAGACAGTTCGTTTACGGGAGCTGTTGAAACCAGTTCACCTCAGTAGTGCGTTGCGAAAAAAACAATGGAAAAAAATATTGAACAAAGAGTTTGCATCAAATTTTGTGTTTCGAACGAATTTCGTGTGCAGAATCGTTGCGAATGCTACAAAAGGCTTATGGGGAATCAGTTTTATCGAAAACTCAAGTTTATGAGTGGTACAAAGCCTTCCAGGACGGTCGTACGACCGTCGAAGACATTTCGCAACGCACTACTGAGGTGAACTGGTTTCAACAGCTGCCGTAAACGAACTGTCTGACAGATCGCGCTCATTTTGGGCATAGTAATTAAGGACAGTGCTGCCAAACTACATAAACTTAAAATATCGAAAAATATACAGCGCGCGAATTTTAAATGAGAATTTCCGAAAACTTTTCAGTCTTAATGTAATTCATTGTCTTTTAAATCATTTAAATCGTTATGACCATTATTGTTATAATTAAGCATTAATTAGAGCACGAGTTGAATTCAATTTTCTCGAACATAAGCTTCTTTGTCTCTGAAGCTTCTGATCCAAAAAATCTCTTAATAAACTTCGAGAAATCTTTAGAAATTTCTATTCGTAACGATTGATAATTATATCTGAACTAATATTATCAATATGACTTTGCTGAGTGCTTGGTTGTGGTATAGTGATTGGTAATAACTACAGATTACCTGCAAAGTACAGGTTTTGCTACATAATTCTGTAGACGGAAGACTTATTGACCATGGCAATGAAATTGAAGACGGACCGTCATAGTATGTCAATGGGCATATTAAGGACCTCATTTGTCCTTCTAATTGCAGGCGAATTAATTATTATTAATATTAATAGGCATATTAATGAGTTCATTTTTCCTTTAAATTACAGTATTACTAATAGGCAGAACAATGGTACACTGCGGATTATGAGATTCCTTATGTTGTGAATGGAGAGTGTCTATTGAGTTTATCCAAACAATTTAAGGTTCGTAACAATACATCTCAGTTCAAAGGCCCAGACCGTATTGGCTTCATTTGATAACTACATGGAGATAACATTGTTCAGCTGGACAAGACTGACGTTATTGAGGTTATCTCAATAATAAAAATAATAAGACAAAGCGACCTGTAGTTAAATTTATGTTATTGTCCGGTTTTGTTCTAGGCTGGAGAGATAAGATCTTGAAAGTAATAATACACATTTCCTTCATGTTCTTAAATATACTTTATTTTTCTGGAATAACTTGTTCTATTGCGAAGAAAAATTCAATATAAAAGTAAAATTTAATTATTTAAGTTGGCTTTATTATCAAAAATGAAATTAAAATTAAATTTGTTTTCAGAGCAACAAATTGGATTTTGTTTGATAATTTTTATTTGTATTTCAAAATTGTTATATATTTTTTAAAAAGACATTATAAAACATTTAGAACATTTGGAACATTTGGAACATTTAGAAGTATGTCAAAACGTGTTTCGAAATTTATGGATTCTACGTGCGTTGCAGTACGAGGTGATGAACATATCGTATTTGCTGCTTATAATACCGATTTGGATGCATTTTATGTCCCTAGTCCTAATACAAGAATTCGTGCTGTAAGCAATAAAACAGTTATGGCTTACGCAGGTGACCAGACAGGCGGACAGGACTTATGGCAGCAGGCCGTGAAGGACCGTACTGATATGTACCCGCAGTATGAGGATGAGCAAGGAAATGTTGCATACATAGCAAATTACCTGTTCAGTGTATTGCATAACTCTACTATTATTCGCAATGGTCCATTATCATTGGTGAGTTGTATAGTTGCCGGTTTTGATGTTGGCAAGTCGTATATCTATAAAGTAGATAAAACTAAAGTGGATGTCATCGATAAGGTGACAGCAGTCGGTTACGAGGAACATACAGCTCAGAACTATCTAAATCAACATTGCAATCGCACTATTGATGAGTTAACAGGTATTATGATTGCTCTTGGATCTTTGACTTCTAAGGGACAAACTGATGTTAAGCATATCGAAGTCGGGGTATTGAGTAAGGGACAACCAATTCGAATGATAAGTCAAAACGATATCACTGACTACTTATGTAGCGTTCCAAGTGATAGCAGTGATGAGTACGTCATAGGTTGATTCCGTTTATACAAGTAATGTAACAATTCACATATAAATTTTGTTATATTTTGAAATCAATTAGAAATTAAGGAATTTACGAAAACAAATTGCTGAAATTGATAATAATGATATTTTTGTGCTGGAGCAAATAAAAATTTATTAAAGAGTATTGAAGTGTTTACTTTTTTCTAAATTTATTATATCTCGGTTCTCGATAACTAGTTAAACTAGATGGCGCTAGAATTGTTAACATACTGTGATATATTGAACTTACATTGTTTTGATCTTTTTGGCATATTGATATATTGCTTTTTTGTTCAATTTCTTTAGTAAGTACTTAGTTAAGTCTTTGACATTACTATTCATCAAATTCATTTAATAGTTCAAGTATTTTATTAAGTCTTTTTTGGAATGTTTGTTTTCCAATTTTCTTATAGTATCCTGATAAATATTGGTACAATATATACTCTATATATACTCAATTTATTTCTACTCTTTTAGAATTCTCTTTTAAAATTATGGAGTAAATACTATGTTTAAATTGTTTTGGGTCAGCAAACAAATCATAACAACTTTTGTCGGTCTAACGACTCCATAAGAATCATTGTTACTTCGGGCTAAGAAAGTAATTGAGAAAGAAATCTCTCTAATAACGAATATCACATGGTTATAATGTCAATCTTGCGATTTGATGTGGATATCCATACAGTACCAATAGTGATTATAGGGTATTCATTGTAAGATTGGTTTTGAGTGTGAAACTAGATGGAACGATGAGCTGTAAAATGACAACGACGCAGTTAGAGGTGTTTTTTAATTCCATCATCATAGATTACTCAATTTACTTGCTATGCAATCATGTGATATTGCTCTTAACAGCCGTAGACCTCATTTGGCTTGAAAGGCAAAATTCAAGTAAATACTTATTGATTTAAAAGTTAAAATTAAGGAAAAGTTCATTCAAATTAATACTTTGTTTTTGTAAAAATTACGATTCAATTCCATTTTCAGCTGTCAAGATTGCCATATAACGTTTATTGATTCCAACTTGTTTTGCTATCGAAATCAAGAATATTTGAAATAATAGCTGAAATTATTATACATTTAAAACTCTCGTGTGAAAATCCAGTATTAAAGAGACTTCTAGACACACATCTATCCAGGCCAATTAAGCAAGTAAGCATATAGTAAAAACTTCACATAACGTTTATATGCAGGTATTTCCCAAATTTTCATATCTGAAATTCAGTGGCTCTTCAACTACTTTTTCAACTACTAATTTAAATATCCTTAATAATTTTAGTGTGGAATTTATATATGGATATTCCTTATACTGAAACCAATTTAATCTTCAATTATTTAAATTAACAATGTTTTTTAGATGACCATATAAATTAATATATTTTATCAAGATGAGATATATTAATCACGGTCAAAAAATTATAATCTCTCTATACTGTTGTTATCTAACAAAACGGTTTGTTGCCAATTGTAAGGGTAATATATATAATAATTTATTATATATATATATTATATACATACATATATACATATTTTTTTACTAAAGCATCGTTTACAGTTTCTATTATGAAAATGAAAAGGTAGTAATTAAGTCTTGATTGAATTTCCATCTTCCGTACAGTTATGATCAATATATTTAATGTTCCGGTGTGATATTAGTCGAATTTTGTTTGGTTTAAAAACCATATAATTTTTTAATTAATTTTTTAATATGAAAGCATAATATTTTACATATTAATATAATGTCAAATACAGAAAGTCTTTTAGTATAAAATTACAAAATATATTAAAAATTAAAACAAAATATATTTGTCATATTGCATCCGAATAACAATACTCACACTAACAATAACAATAACAATAACAACAACTACAACAATAACTATTTGTAAATAATTAACAGCATTCCTTAATTAATCAAATTAATATTGTCCTCATTTTGCTAATGAAATATTGTTAATTATATAAAAAATCACATGTTCGAAGTTGTTTAGGTTTCTCTTAAAAATGAGTAATAAAAGTTTTTATGAAGTCACATTTTTTGCCGAGCATAAATCAGTGAAACAGTTGACAAAACCCGAAAAAGTGTTAATTTACTTTTGTGGCATTTTTAATTACCAGAATTAACACAATGTTTTGTTTACGAGCACTTAAACATATTTAAGCTTAAATTTGTTTATAAATTATTGATTTTTAAAAGATCACATCAGTTAACTTTTGCAGAATATTAATTTATGGGTTTTTGCTTGAGAGTAATACAAAGCGGCTTACATATCAAAGCCGAGCCGCTGAGCCGCTGAGGTGCTCAGCCGGGAAGCCACAGAGCCACAGAGCCGAAGAGCCCTGCATCATTAAGTAGCCAACGAAGAATGGCAGATACTCATATAAAAAAATATTTTTTATATATGTGAACTTGTATATATTTGAATAATGCATGCATGTATGCATGCATATGTATGCATGCACATGTATGTCAGGAAAATTATAAAAGGCTACCGTAAGCACGGCAGTATGTTTTGACAATAACTTAAGGCAATATTTCATAAATTTAATACTCCAAATAAAAAGTTAGAAGTAAATTTTGTTAAAATTTTTAAACAATAAAGGAACTTTATTAAATGAAGTAGTAAAATATGCAAATAATGCCCGTTAGGAATATTTTCAAAGTGGACTAAAGTGGACTACAAATTAAGGATAACTGTTACGCATATATCGTATATAGTTGATGTGACTGAAAAAACAAAATAATGAAGAAAAATTAAAAATTAGTTCTTCATACTTCATTTAAGAACGAAACTCATAAACAAAACGATCAATATTTTAAAGGTAAAAATGCATAAATCGATTTAATCCTTGCGCTGCCTCTGGGGCTCAATATCATATTAATTGATGCGACGACCTACAGCAAAGCAACTCAATGCCGAGAATGAGTAAACGATTCTTTTAAATCGAAAACACAATAAAACAATATAAAAAAGTGTATAAAATCCAATAAAGAAGAAATTATCAATTTATTTCACGCCTTAATGTGATACGGACTTATATAAATGTATTTAAGCATTGAACACAATGTCTTCGGTAAAATGTAGTGTGTAATTCAAAAAAAATCATGCTAGTTTTTTTTTTGTGTGAAGTAGAAAATCCTTATTAACAATACTAGTGATTACATGGTTAAGGTAATTTTGAATGAATTTAAATTTTCAATAAAATTGTTGATTTTTTAGTTACCAATTAGTTAGTAACTAACTAATTTTAATATTATATCGTGTACGATATAATCAATCAATTCAAAACAACTGACAAACATTAGTTACCTTCATTATTATTATGTTGAGGCACTGACTTAGTGCACTTGTGCACTTTTAGTCTGTATTAACTGCGAGGTTTCTTCATAACCCCTCTCTACGCCTTGTCTGGATTATTGTTTATCACTTTAGCAGACTAAGCAATAATTAACCTCAGTTCTGCATACCTCCTCGAGGGGCCTGTAACCATTCTAAGATTCCATAACGCGGTGTTGGTAAGCCTGTCAATTTTTGTAAATAGTTTCAGGGTTCTATCCATTACCTTTTTAATAACGCATATATATTTAGAAACCAAAAAAATACTAAAAATTATATTAAGTAAACAGAAAATAGAAAATTTTAAATAAAAAACTTTTGTTGTTCTTATTCAAGTAAACTAAGTATAAGAACAAAATAATTTAATACTCCTGATGATGATGGATAAAATCCAAGAAAATACATTTCAAAATTTAGCTTAATTTATAATGTTTTATTTCTATTTAAATAATAAAAGAATGTAACTAATTATAAATGAAAAATTATAGGTATAAAATAAATTTCCATTCCATGTTTCCATTCCATGCTATCATGAATACCAAGACCTGTCGTTTAGGAATAATTTCTAATTGTATAGTGATCATTTGAATTGAAATTTTTTTTCTACTGTAGTGACTAAATTCATATTTCTAGAACTATGAAGTAAAATTAAAATCTAATTTCCTAGGAAGGAAACCGCATTTCACAAGCCCACAACCAAGAATTTCTTGTATTTGCCAATAAAAAGCAATTACCATTAAGTAATTTAACCACAAAGTTTGGAGGAAGAAAGCTATGATTTTATCTTCAACTGAGCACAATTACCAAAAATATTTTTAGCCCAACGACTTGCCACAGTACCGAGTACCGAGTATCGCGTATCGAGTACCGTACGGCGAACGCCATTCGAAGTAAGTGTACGCAAACATTCATTACAAGAAATTATTAAATTAATTTGTTAATAGCGACACCAACACCAACACCAACACCAACACCGACAAGAAACGCAAAGCACACGAGCACCAGGAGTAACCAATGAGACGGACACGGCAACTTGTGTGGCTGCAACGCATTAATAACTCAAAAATGCGGCAGCGTCAAAATTAGCTGTTGTACAACGCCGCAACGGTCGTCAAGCGGTCGGTGTGGTAAACGGCAAGCGGCAAGCGGCGAAAGGAGTGCTATATGCGTTCTTTGATGTGGCGTTTAATTCGATTCTATTGGTTGCGCTAATTATATTAAATAAGTTTTTAACGTTTTCTTGAATGCAGCCATTATGCGTGCTATTGTATTTCCTTGTTCGATATTTGGGTAGACTCTTCTCCCCGCATGCCGTACCATAATTATCAGAGAACTTAATTTTCATTATGTAAAGTAAATTTTGATGTGGCAAGCGTTGTAGGAAATTTGTTTATAATCGTCGTCATTTATTAAGTGTTCTTGTGCCTTAACATAGACTCTACAAGCAGTTTCTTGTGCTGCCGTGCAACCGATTTATCATTACAATCAGTAACTTGAATTGCTTCATTGATCGAGTTATGTTTCAAAGTATACATAGACACATTTATACACATCCCTAATGATGTGGGTTTGGCCATGTAGAATGTTTGTGTTCACTTCTCTATTGGGTGTTCTTCGCAGCTATGCCATTTTGATCTGTACTAGTCTGTTCTGTTC